GCTAGTCAGATTAAGCCACTGGCTGATCCCCGCTAGCCACAGGCAAGGGTCAGATAGAGATCATTGTCATCTTGATTATGCTGGATGAACTTGACCTCCCTATTGTCCCAAACTCAAATGGTTCCAGGTGCAACTATTTCTTGCTTTACCATAATAAAAGTTTCCCCCCTGGGCTTTTAAATATTGATGTTGGGCTTTTCTTTCTGACTAGTTGTTTGCATTTTGATCTTTAATTATCATTAATTTGTCATGATCATTCTATTTGACTTTTGGTTTTTATTGTTTCTGTTGGGTTTTCCAGTTTGTGAAGGAAACAGAAGGAGTATATGCGTAGAGATAATAACTGATGCGAGGGCATATAAAGGACGTAGGGCTGGGGTGGGAGATAGGAAGGGTGAGGCGGTCGGGGAGCAAACACTGTATGCAGGAGGTGGGAGGGAGCAGCAGAACTGATGGTGATTACGCAACTCCTTTTAAAAGTAATTTAACCACGAAAAAAGAAAATGTTCGGAATTGTGGTAATAATTGTACAATTCTTCTTGATATGATTGAACTATTGAATTGTATAATATGTGAATAACGTGCCAATAAAACTGTGGGGGCAGGAGGAGGGGGATCTGTCCTGTACCAGGAAGCTTAAAAAACTTTGGGAAACTCCCATTGTCTTTTAATTCATTATTCCATGGGTTTTTAAAGCCCTCTCATATTCCTTAAAGTCACTGAATGTGTAAGTATACCCCATAACTGAATCCTACAGAGCACACCTGTGTTCCCGTATTGTCCATGGGTTTTATGCCATAGCTAGTTGTTCTGTCAACCAGTTTGACTACCGCATGATCTGTTTGTCTAACCCATGTGTTTATTTTCTGGTTGACTAGCTCTGACCTCATTTTTTAAAAATGAAAAGCAATTGTACTGTTTAAAACTGGTCCCTGAATATTTTTAAAATCTTAATGGAGTGGGGGGAGAGGGGTGGTCTTTACAAGTGTCTTCTCCTTGCCCAGGTAAGTGTTATGTGATAAATAACACATGATCAAATGAAGTTATCATTTTTTGAAGGTATCATTTTAATAATGAGATTACTCAATGACTTGCTCTTTTCAAATAAGAAGTTCTAGTAAACCAAAGCACAATTAAGCTCCTGCCCGCCAAGTCGAATCTGATTCCTAGCAGCCCTGTAGCACAGGGAGTACTGCCCCTGTGGCTTCTGAAGCTGCAGCTCTTTGGGACTGTGAACCCTCATCTTTCTCCCTCACAGAGGTCGGTGGTTTCAAACTGCTGGTCTTGCATTTAGCAGCCCAGTGCATAACCACCACACCTGCAGGGCTCCTAAGAAGTTCTGGTGGGGATGAAAAATAACAAACATATCACTAACTACAGTATTGCAGTGCATTACATGCTACAAAAGGAAGGCTAGGTGCTGTGAGAGCAAATATTCAGGGTCTCGACATTATCTAAGGAGCCCTGGTGGTACAGAGATGAAAATGCTCATCTGCTATCGGAAAGCTCGGTAATTCCCCATCGAGGGAGAAAGTTGTGGCAGGCAGTGTGACAGCTCAGAAACCCACAGGGCAGTTCTACTCTGTTCCATAGGGTCGCTATGAGTCAATGGTACTGGGTTTGTCCTTGGTTGACTTCACCTGAAAATAATGACCTTGGGGTAGGCAGAGCAATGCATAACCCACTCCATCACCAGGGCTGCTCAGGTCTCTCAGCATTGTCATGCTCCCTGGTATCCACGCATTGCCTGGAGAGCAGCAGAGTTAAGCAAATGCTGCCTCCATTTTTGTTTCTCCTGGGTGTGATGAAGAGAGGTCCATTGCCTCCCCACCCCTCAGTAGGTTTCTGATTTAAATGTGGGGGGTGTTGCAATGTCACTTGCTTCCGGTGACCATCCCCAGGGCTCCCTCTGTCTTGCACCTGAAGCCCAGGGAGGAGGTACTGGGCGCATCGCCAAAGGGAAAACCCCAGCGTTCAGAGAGTATAAACGAATTGCCAGGAATCTCCGATGTCTCTATTTCCCAAGTGCAGACATCTGGGCTTTACAGGCTGCATAATCTCAATACCTACATGGGCATTTCCCTAGAGCCAGGCACTGGCTTTTTATAGCTACCCATTATATTCAAAACAGAAATATCAAAATATTGCTATATCTTTTCCTGATTAGTTTGTACAAACAAGCGTGTTACTGATTGCCTTCTTTAATACCTTCATGGCACTGCTTACTTCCAAAGATCCTTTAAGATGGATATTTTGTCCATTTAATAGATGAGGAAACTGAGGCTCAGACAGTAGCATGAGAATCAGGACTCAAGCTATGTCTGGTTCACTCTCAGCTCTGAGTTCACTAACTGTGGGCTCTGTGCTAGTTAATACGTTGCTGTGGCCATCGCTTGGACTGGTTGATAAATGTGTCCCTGAAAGCGCCATGCTCAATGACAAGAAAAGTGGGCTGTGTATTGAAGGCTTGGCTTCAAGTCCACTCAAGCTTTATATGATAAAAGAATAATGGAGTTAGGAGGGCCCACACCCCACCCGCACCTGCATTAGCGTAAGTTCTGCTACAGTCCTCAATTGTCAATGCTCAGCCACTCCAACCAAGGGATGCACTTTTTTTTTAATTCATATTTTTAAATCATTTCATTGGGGGCTCATACAATTCTCATCACAATTCATACATACATACATTGTGCAAGCACATTTGTACATTTGCTGCCATCATCATTCTCAAAACATTTTCTTTCTACTTGAGCCCTT